CTAGTGAGGAAGGGATTTAACTTTCAATAAAATTAACAAATAGTGCTTAGCACTTATGATGTACCAAGTACTTTGCCAAGGGCTGGGCCCAGCATCCAAATCTCTGTACTCTCTGACACTCCCTAGCTGTGCCCATCACATCACCCTTCACCTATAATGATGGATGGTCCCTTCATCTATAATGTAGGAATGACAATAATAAGATGTACTTTATTGGATCGTGGTGGCAATGGATTGATTTAATGTATGTAGATGGATTAACACACTAAGTTATTCTTATTTGCTACACAGAAAAGGCATGAAAAGATTCATTTACCCCTTACCACAGGGCACCGACAGCATCCTGCCAGAGCACCTGGGGCTGGTTTTCTCCCCGTCCCCTGCTGTTGTATCTGGGTTCTTATCCAGCCTGGGAAGAGATGCCCCAGATGTTCTCAGGTAATGGGAGTACAGATTTCCTCTTTTTGCTTTTGTCTGTTTTAAAAAGTGAATGTAATTTGTAATAATAAGAGTTAAATATTATCATTATAGTAATGACATTTTAAGTGAGCACAGACTTCTAGCTAAAAAGGAAATCATTTATCTTTGCTCCTCTCCCTTAAAATCTACACATGACAACCACAAATAAGTAAACATTGAAATAAACTTTACTTTTGGTGGAGCTGGGAGATGTCTTCATTGCTGAATGGTCTGTCTTGTATCTGGAACGATGCATGCCAGGTGAAGAGAGCTAGCAGGGCCCTCAATAGATCTGAATCAAGATCTGCTTTCCATGGAAATAAGGTTCACTCCCGAAAGACTTCTGTCTTAATTTAGAGGGACCAGAAGTGAAGATGGGATGCTTACATAGAAGCAGAGGCACAGCTGTGCACGTCTGTTTGACTCCACAGAGCAGAACGGAAGAAATCATGGGGAAAGGCAATTCTCTTATCTGGGATCTGAATTCCTTACTAAATGAGGCCTTGGGAGGTGGGCTGAGGTGAAGGGTGAGAGTGCAGTGATCCCTGGGCTCAGTGCAGAGAGCCTGGGACAGCATGATGTCAGCTTCTCCAGTATGAAAAACGGAGGGGCCGCATGTCTTTGAGCACAGAAAATAGATTTGTGAGAAAGGACCTGTGATTACAACTCTGAACTACAGTGGGGGCTTCTCCAGCCACTCTCTGACTCCCTCTCTAGCTCCCCCTCACCCCACATTATAACTGTCCAGATATATAACAGCTAATAAGTATCCTGTCTAAAGGAGAGGAATGGTCAGGGGGCAGTCAGCCTAGGACCCACGTATTTACACTGGGAAAAAAAAATAGAAACAGGAGTTTTTAATAGAACTTTTAAAAATAGCTTTTAATAGTTTTAAAATAGAAACTGTAGACAATATGATCTTTCTACAAAAAACTCAGAGAGTTGATGAAGAGCATGCTAACAAAGCCTAGCAGAGAAATGGATGAGAAAGGAAAAGATTTACAGAGTTGAATGCTGCATTGAAAGCAGCAAAAACCAGCAAGAATAAACAGGATTGGAAAGTCAGCCAGGGCTGTGGCAAAGAGATTACAGAAAATCATAAAAGTGAAGTGGAAGAGAATACAAAATATAAATGTAAAAATGAGAGAAGATGACAGACGTAAAAGACAAAAGAGATCAAACACACACATAAACGATGGACTTGAAATAAAGATCAGAACAAATAGGACATACACATTACCAAAAATATTTATGAAATTAGGGCTTGAACCGTATGTTGAATGGGCACAGGAAAATTACACAGAATTAAGGTTTGTCTTGCAGAGGCTCTTATACTTCCAAGAAAAGAAAAATCATATAAACATCTGACATGCAGAGCATAGAGGAAAGAAAGTCAAGTACAAGGGGAAAAACTGGGCTGGCCTCAAACATATCCCTACTAATTTTAAATTCATAAGACAAGGGAGCAATGTTTGTGATGTTCTGATAAGGAAAAATAAGACCCTGAAATTTATACCCAGCCGAATTGCCCTTGAAGTTTAAAGATAGCACATATCCCAAAGTATGCAAGAATTTAAGGTATGTGGGACCTATGGATCCTTCTTGGGAAAAACAGCATGAAAGAAACACTTAATGAAATTCAGCCAACCTAGAGTAAATCAAAGTAAAGAACTCTGAAGTGAGAAGTTGCCATAGAAAAGCCTGATGCGGGTAATTGACCCATTTCAATATATAACTAAGACTAAAGAATTGTGGAAATTATGGATACAGAGGAAAGTGTATATGTTATTAAACTTAGACTATAAAAAGAATAATAAGATTGAAAAAAATGATCAGTAGAGTATTAGTTTGCTAGGGTTGCTGGAAGAATCTTTCGAAGACCGGGTGGCTTAAAGAACAGGAATTTATTGCCTTACAGTTCTAGAGGCTGATAATCTGAGATCAATGTGTTGTCAGGGTCGATTCCTTCTGAGGGCTTCTCTGGTGGTTTGCTGGCCACCTCTCGTGTTTCCGATCTCTGCCTTCATCTTCGCCTGGCATTCTACCTGTGGACATGCCTGTCTCTGTATCCAACTTTCCCTTTTGTAAGGACCCCAGCCATATTGGATAAGAGTCACCCTAATGACCTCATTTTAACTTGATTACCTAAATAGAGACCCTGTCTCCAAATAGGGAGCTAGATAGGGTTAGAACCTCAACATATGAATATCGAGGGGATACCACTCAACCGTTAACAATTGCGGAGGAGGACAGTTGGGAAGAAGGATAAGTGTGCATGTGTTTAATGGGTCCCATGTGAAGTTGAAACCTGTACCTCAAAAAACAACATGACTCCAACCTCTTCATATTGTATAATCACTTCTTCCTTAAGTTTAAACAGGTCTTGTTAGAACAAATAGGTCTTACAGCACTAGAGCATGTAGCTGGGAGTTTAGTAACTCCTTCAGCCTTGCTTGCTTCTTTTGTCTTTTAAAGTCAATTAAAAATAAATTTTTAATTAAAAAATTTTTTTGAAAAATTTAAAGTGAGGAGATATGGGCGTCCATAGCAGGTAATACCGTCACCTAGCATGCTTTCCAATTCCGAGAGGCGTTAAAATAGCGCACTGGGGATGGGGGTGACACACATTTAACAATATCTAGAAACTTTTTTCTTTTTTTTTGAGACAGGATCTCTGTCACCCAGGCTGCTGTGCAGGGAGGCAATCACAGCTCACTGTAGCCTTGAACTCGTGGGCTCAAGCGGTCCTTCCACCTTGGCCTCCTGAGTAGCTGGGGCTACAAGAACACACCACCCTGCCTGGCTAATTTTAAAAAGTTTTTTATAGAGGAAGGGTCTCGCTATGTTGTTCAGGCTGGTCTCAAACTCCTGGCCTCAAGCAATCCTCCTGTCTCAGCCTTCTAAAGTGTGGGGATTACAGGTATGACCCACGGCACCCATCCTGTAAACATTTTTCATTGTCTTGACTTAGAGCAAAGTGGAGAAAAGGTAGTGTTACAGGCATCTAGTGGAGAGACCAGGAGATGCTGTAAACAGCTTACAGAGCACAGTGTACCCTGTCTCCAGCAGTGATCCCATCCCAAATGTCCGTATAGCCAAGGTTAAGATATCCTTCACTAGTGAGATGAGCAGCAGGCTGTAGGAAAGAAGGGAAGTCCCAGTCTCTCCTTAATACGACCTTGTATTCACCACACGTGGCTTCAGGGACTATGCCACGTCTCTTATGGGAATTGTTATTTCATTATTATTATCATTTTGAGTCATGGTCTTGCTCTGTCACCCAGGCTGGAGTGCAGTGGAGTGAACATGGTTCACTGCAGCCTCTAACTCCTGGGCTTGTGATTCTCCTGCCTCAGCCTCCCCAGTAGCTGGGACTACAGGTATGCAACACCATGCCCAGCTAATTTTGAAATTTTACTTTTGTAGAGGTGGGGTCTTTCTATGTTGACTAAGATGGTTTTGAACTCTTGTCCTCAAGAGTTTCTCTTACCTCAGTCTCTCAAAGTGTTGGGATTACAGGCGTGAGTCTCCGTGCCTGGCCGGGATTTTTATTTCAAAAAGCATGCTGGGTTAAAGCTCTGCTTACACTACAGGCATCGTCTCTATTGGGGTGTTTTAGGCACTGCATCAAGCAAATAGGGGAGAAAACTTGGGGCAGGGAGACTTTTCTAGATAGCTCTGGGAGGTGCCAGCGGGCAGACCACAGGCCTAGAGTTTTTATGTGGCCTGTCTCTGCAGTGCCTCCTTGACAGGCTCACCTCTCTCTTACAGGCTGTTCCCTGTTTGCCCAGCTTGACACCCCCAGACTCCTGCATCCTCTCTCTGTGTCCCCTTCCCCATCCGTTCCTGAAGCGCCTGGCTTGCCTGAGCCTAGGAAGCTTCTTGGCTCCAAGTCCCCTCCCCTGGAACTGCCCCTACTTGGCCAGCTCTGTTGAGTGCCTTTGAAGATTTCCGGCTTCTCTCGTCCGGAAGCTGCACGTGGGGTCAGGCATTGGAGCCCGCTAATCACTCTGTTCTGCCAGTGCCCGAGTGCCACGAAACCTCTTTTTATGCCTATTGAAAGCCTCTGAGGAGCTTTCAAGTGCTCTTTGATAAATCATGGTAAGTGTTATTCCGGCCACTCCAGCACAGTACCTGCTTGGAGCCCTCCCGCCTCCCTGGGCCACTGCTCTCCATCACCGCATTTCACCGGCGACAGTAATTCATTCCACTTGAGCTGACGAGCTTTGTTCCCATTTATTTGCACATTATGAGCTGTGTCACTCCACTTACCCTCTAGATAGTAAATGGATTGAAAAATGCAACTGTAACAAATACTAGGGAAAGGATAAGAGAGGGGGGAAAGAATGTGAGAGAGAGAAGGAAGGAGATTGAACCTTTGAATTTAGAGTCCAAAAACTCAGACAATAAATAAATAAAGCTCTTGAATTGTTCCAATTAGCAGCAGCAGCAGCAGCAGAAGCAACAGGAATGCCATGAAAACTTGCAAGCTTCCTTTGAAAGAAACCACTTTCTCCATCCTCTCTCTCTCTGTCTCTTTCTCTCTCTCCTCTTGAATCTGAGTTCTCTGAGTGAAGTGAACTCAAGCATCATTTTTGGGCCAGGACAATGATTGGGCTGCAGTGTTGGCTTTTACCTTCAAAGTCAGAGAGGCTTAGGCCCCTGCTTTCTGCTTTTCCCATTAAAGGCCAGGGACCCCATGATATAGCCCGTTCCTCCTGTTATAATTGGGATGACTTTCAAGGAAATGGAGGCAGCTCACCAAAGTCATGCTTCTTTTTCTAGGTCTCAAAGTTGACGCAAACCAGAATTTGAAGTGGAGTCTTCTAGAACCTGATGTGGCTGGGCAAATGCTGGCCAGCAGGTGAGGCCCAAGGACATCCCTAGAGACCCAGGCCCACTTTGTCTGGTAAGCTGAGTCCCATAAGAAATGAGTCAAGGATGATTTTCCTCTAAGGCGAGTAAGTGAGGTAGCTATGGTTGGGAGGGCTGAGGACACAGGAGTTTGGGTCCTGCAGGCCATGGGGAGGCCATGAGGGGGCAGTGCAAAGGACACCAGAGGAAAGCCTGGCTGTGGGAACAGCTACCATGGCCATGTCCTGGGACTGAAAAGCATGATCACCAGCCCCACGCGTACCCACTCCAGTCCCACCAGGCTTCCAAAACGATTTATCAGGAGCTTACCAGGGGCTTTCCCCCTCCCCAGCTATGAAGTCTTGGGTAACTCATGTCCTCTGAGACTTGTGTTCCTCGTCTATAAAATAGGGTAAGACCATTTATATCACAGTTCATTGTAATGATTAAATGAGAAAACGCCCATAAAGTGCCCAGCAGAGAACCTGGTAAGTAGCTACCCAGCAAACAGAAGTTATTAATATTATCAGTGGCAGTGATAGCCTCAAGCTCGCCCCATCTCCTCCTGAATGTGCAGTTCTGATCATGTTGCCTCTCCCTGTCTCAATTCTTGGTTATCCATTATACCTCACGGGGCACAAGAAAAAATCTATTTGCCCTTTGTACTCAGTTTCTGGCACACAGCTCCTAAAACCCTTGGAATTTCCTGAGTGATGAGAACATCTTTTGTTATTCATAATAAGCCTCTTTTGAGCACACCTGAGTTTACGCTAATTAGGTGATTTAGGGTGGAGCCCCTAGAGGAGGAGTCTGTGGGAACCCCAATTTATAGCTGATGAGTCAGAAGTGCAGGTGGAAACTTGGCGCTTGCAATTGGCATCTGAAGTGGCAGCAGCCTTGAGGGTCCTTTCACTGTGGGATCTGATGCTGACTGCAGGTAGATATTGTCAGAATTGAATTGAATTATACGGCACCCAGCTAGTGTCCACAGAGAATGCAGAACTGGTTGTTGGTGTTTAAAAAAACACCTCCAGACCCTGAGTTCAGTCAGTCAGGCAAGATCTGTCTTCCTGGGTCAATAAACATGTATTACTGGGTGCTGGGTGCTGAATACTGTTTGGCCCAGAGATGAGGAAGACAGAAAGACCATCACAAAGACTTTCCTACATCACAACATTTGTACAAGTTGTGCACAGAGGGCACAACTTAAGTTAAAGAGCAGCTTAAGATATTTCCATTCTTAAGCTTTCAAATGTGAATGTCTTCATTCAGGTGGCCCTCCTAGGATTGGGTTCTACGTTCAAAATCTGCTGGCTTATGCTGGGGTAACTTATTAAAATGATTCTGACCTCAGTTTCCCCTTGTGGAAAATGAGAATAGTTATACTCAGTTCATGGGTTGCTTATGGAATGTGGGCTGTAAAACACTGAGAATTCTGACAATGAGTTCCTGAGATTTTTATGCTGTCCTGGAATCAAGAGAGGTTTGCTGGAACCGCCATCTTAACAGTTATGCTTAATGTCCCCCGAGTGGGCCCACAACTGGGGAAACAGGGCCTCAAGGCCCCCAAGGGCCTGAGGATAGGATAGGTGGCCTCACCCGGGGACTCTACATCTCTGTGGCAGAGGCACCAAAGAGAAATTAATTCTCCCTATTTGGGGTCTTCCTCTGTATTACCTATTCATCAAAAATTGCCTGGTGTTTGTGCATTTTTCATTACAAGAGTCAACATTTACCACGTTAATAAAGCAAGGGGCTGCTTTTCTCCTCTCAGAAATAGAATATGTAACGACAGGGCCCCTTTGATGTTTCCCAGCCAATACAATATGTATCTGAATGAGGATGAAAGTCATCCTATTAAGGCCAGGCTGCAGAGGCGTTGCGATGGAGCAGAAATTGGGGAGGGGGTATGGTGAGAGTCTCTGCAAGATGCACATCAAGGCAGGGAGTGGGCTGGGGCTCTACGGAGAAGTCCCTTCCTATCCCAGCCCCAGGAGAGAGATCTGTTCCTGCATCAAGGGCTGGGAATGGAGTTTAGCTGCAGGTTCAGCTCACAGTGTCTCAGAAGGAAGATGATCTAGAAGGAAAATAAATTCCTTCCTTGCAGGGTTATTTGTTTGTGTGCATCAAACGGGCCTGTGGACCTAAGTGTGTTTCATAATGGGATGAACATCTGGCGAGACAGAATTGTTTTTGTCATCAAAAGCAGTTGTCTGTCCTGAACACCTATGATGCCAGTGCTGTGTGAGGCACTCAGAGACACCAATTGGTGGGACCTTCTCCACCTTTGTCCCCACAGAGCTGACAGCCAAGCTGGGGAGAAGAGCTCATCAAGAGATGTGAATATCCAACCTTCCAAGTCCAGACAGCCATGGGAGCCAGGCTACAGGGCAAGGTGAACAGAACCACCAGAACCCTCAGCAGCCTGACCCCAGATCCTCAGCCTCACTGAGATGACTGCTGACCAACTCCTAACAGGGATCTGCAACATGTGGTGAGTAGAAAAGCAACTAGAGACCTCTCCTCTTCTCTTGTAAGCCCTGTGTCTGCCATAGCCTGTATTCGCAGACTACTCCAACCTCAAAACCTTCCAGATATAAGCTTCTTTGGCAAATCATACCTGCCCCATGTTTTCTTTTCTTTTTTTTTTTTTTTTTTTTGAGACAGAGTTTCACTCTTGTTACCCAGGCTGGAGTGCAATGGTGCGATCTCGGCTCACTGCAACCTCCACCTCCTGGGTTCAAGCAATTCTCCTGCTCAGCCTCCCGAGTAGCTGGGACTACAGGCACACACCACCATGCCCAGCTAATTTTTTCTGTATTTTCAGTAGAGACGGGGTTTCACCTTGTTGACCAGGATGGTCTTGATCTCTCGACCTTGTGATCCACCCGCCTCGGCCTCCCAAAGTGCTGGGATTATAGGTGTGAGCCACCACGCCTGGCCCTGCCCCATGTTTTCAAAGATCCTACCAGGATGGATTGCAAAGGACAGTCACAGACACTCTCATCAACTCCCTTGGAATCCCTCTTCCCCTACCTCCAGCCAGCCACCTATCATGTCACTTTCTCCTTCTGTGAAATATCATGGAATCATTCATACAAAAGTCTTACGAAGTTGTACTGGTTCTTCTAGTTACTGATCGTGTTGGCCGTGGGCAAGTCACATACTATCTCTGAGCCTCAGTTTCCATGTCTGTGAAATGAGGATAACAATAGCGCCTATGTGCTGGGGCTGTTGAGTCCTGAGTGTGGTACCCAGCATGCAGTCATGCATAGCTCAGTAGTGGTGTCTCAGTCGTAGGAGTGCCGTCATGGCTCACTCCTTCTCCCCATCATCCCTGCCCCCCCCCCCACTTCACAGGTTAGGGCTTGTGGACAGAGATGCAGCCAGAATACCCCACAACCTACGAGGATGCAATATTCTAGGACTGTCTGTGCAAGACTTGCTCATTCTACTCATGGTCCTGAAGTCGAGCTGGAGGCAAGCTCTAGTTCTGGGCTCTACTGGAGATGCTCTGCCTCAGGCTGGGTTTGCTGCTGTAACAAGCAAAACTGCTTGCCAACTGGCTCGTTCTGGCTCCAGCCTTGCTTCAGCCAGTTCATGGCAGAGGCTCTTCATCCTTCCTTTGGAAGATTACTGACACCAACAAGGATGTATGGGCTGGTAGAAAGAAGGAACCTGAAAACTCACGGAGAGGAAAGAGAGGAGCTAGAGCTATTGGCTGAAGATCTCAGTTCAAGGCCCTTCAAGGAAGATCTTTGAACATGCTGAGCCTCAGTTGCTTCATCTGTAAAACAGAGCTTCTGTCACCCTCTGGTCCCTATTCCTGACTCACAGGGTCAGTTGAGTTTAATGTGTGTGTGAGATGCCCATGGAGTGGTCAAGAGTGTTCATGCTGGAATCAGCACTGCCACTTTCTAGCTGAGCACATGCCTCAGTTGCTGGTTGGCAATGGGGGACAGAACCTTCCTGACAGAGCTGCTGTGCAAATTCAGAGAGCTTCCATGGCCAATGTGTCTGGTGCCATTCCTGGAATCCAGGTGCAGCCTCTACTCTCAGGGGACTGTCTTGTGTGGGAGAGAAACAATGAATGTGTATAAAAAGTGGCTCCATGGATAGAGTGGCCATGTGTATCCTGAATATATCCACTGTTTTTTCTGGTATAATTACCAATAGCACCCCTTTTCACACTCAGAAGCCTTCTAGCTTGAAAGATAAATTTTATAATCACTTTCACTGTGAAGAAAACTAAAGAGCATTTAGTGAGACAGTGACCCAATCAAGTATCGTTAGATGGGTCGGAAGGCCACTTGGAGGATATGATGTGTTCATTACGACCTGAATGAAGGGAAGGAGTCAGCCACGCGTCACTGTGCTGAATGAACATTCCAGTAGAGGGGAGAGCAGAGACCCTGCGGCAGCCCTGGGCTTCCGGTGTTGGAGGAACAGGAAGGCTGACAGTGTAGTTGGAGCAAATTCAATTGAGTGGTGCAAAAAGAGGGCCTAGGAATAGCCCGGGCCACCATAGACTCCTTCTGAACATTTTAGTCCCATGACCTCATGCATTCTCTTTTATCTTAAACTGGTTTGAGTCAGGTTTTCTTTACTTACACACAACAAATGAAAGAATTCTTTAAAATATAAAATATTAACACTGGTGGTCTCAGGTTGTAGGATTAGAGAGCTTTTACTTTTAAAAGTTTGCTTCTCTGAATTTTATGCAATGAACTTGGATTACTTTTGTAATTTTTTTATTGCATTTTAGGTTTTGGGGTACCTGTGAAGAACATGCAAGATTGTTGCATAGGTATACACGTGGCAGTGTGATTTGCTGCCTTCCTCCCCCTCACCTATATCTGGCATTTCTCCCCATGGCATCCGCCCCCCAACTCCCCACCCCCCGCTGTCCCTCCCCTATTTCCCTCCAGCAGACCCCAATGTGTAGTACTCCCCTCCCTGTGTCCATGTGTTCTCATTGTTCAACACCCACTTATGAGTGAACTTTTGTAATTTAATAAACGGGTTACGTAAAAGATACTGGGCTGGGTGCGGTGGCTCACACCTGTAATCACAACACTCTGGGAGGCCAAGGCGGGTCTATCACGAGGTCAGGAGATGGAGACCATCCTAGCCAACATGGTGAAACTCCGTCCCTACTAAAATAAAAAAACTAGCTGGGTATGATGGCAGGCACCTGTAGTCCCAACTACTTGGGAGGCTGAGACAGGAGAATTGCTTGAACCCGAGAGGCAGAGGTTGCAGTGAGCTGAGATGGCTCCACTGCACTCCAGCCTGGTGACAAAGCGAGACTTGGTCTCAAAAAAAAAGCTATTGTATGTCTCCCCTAGACACAGTGGCTGAACCAATTTTTCCCTCCTGACAGCCAATAAAGGCCCAGTGAAAAAAAAAGGAGAGAAGAGGAGACCAATAACCCGTGAAGATCGTGTAATTGCCAAGGGGTGGGTTGAGAGTTTACAAGGGGAAGCGGAGAATAAGCACCATGTGGATGAGCCTCTCCCTGGTTGTGGATGGAAAATTCAGGGAGACACAGGTTGACTTAGTACTGTATATTAGTTGTTGCTCCTTCTTTAAGTTGAATGCCTCCTCCACAGTCTCTGCTCCCAGAAGGCCAGGGTTATGGCTCATGACCCTCTGAATCTGCAGCTCCTGATGTGCAGTAAGCATCACTGATATTTGACAACTGGCCTATTGAGCACAGAGCATGGCCTCTGTTATCCCCACGAAGGCCCCTGTCCAACCAAGGCTGGCCATAGAGAAGAGTGAGAGGATATCCATGGAGGGCCTGAGAAGAACCTACAAGTCTCCTCTGCTGGGCCAGACAAATAGACCCTCTCTCAGCCTTTTAGACCAGAAGGGACCTCCATTCAGGCCAGAGGTCACAGACAACTGGTATGCAGGATGCCTTATCAATTTCACTTATGCCCATAGCAGACATTCACAGCATACCCTCTGTATTAGGGTTCTCCAGAGAAACAGAAATAATGTGTGCCTCTGTGTGTGTGTGTGTGTATGTGTGTATGTGTGTGTGTATGTATGTACGAATATATTTATATACTATATATGTGTGTGTGTGTATATATATATATATATATATATATATAGAGAGAGAGAGAGAGAGAGAGAGGCAGAGAGAGAAATTATGGGAATTGGCTCATGCAATTAAGGAGGCCAAGGAAAGCCAGTGGTGTAATTCGGTGCAAGTCTGAAGGCCCAAGAACCTGGAGTACTGATGTCCATGAATGTCCCAGCTCAAACAGAATTTGCTTCTTTTCCACCATGTTGTTCTAATCAATCAGGCTCTCAATGGATTAGGTGATGTCTGCCCACAGTGCTAAGAGTAGATTTTCTTTGCCCAGTCTACTGATTCAAATGCTAATCTCTTTTGGAAACACCTTCAGATACACCCAGAAATAATGTTTTATCAGCTCTCTGGGCATCCCTTAGCCCAGTCAACATTGACACGTGAAATCAACCATCATGCTCTCCTCCGCACCCAGACATGGTTTCAGAATACTTCCTCATGCAAGGCTCCATGCAGTGCCTATTAATTGAGCTAAATTAGGACAAAACCTCTTTGCCTTCACTGATTGTATCCAAACTCCTCATTTGACAAATGGGGAGTCTGAGAAGAGAAAGAACATATTCCAAAGTCATTCAACACATGAGTGATAGATGTAAGACTCCAGTCCCTGAATCCCAGCTCTGGGTACCTCCCATCACCCCATGATGGCTCTGGAGTGGCTGCTTCCTTGCAAAATGTTCTTTGCCCTCATACTTCTGCACTCTCCATCCAACCAAGCCCTAAAGACTGTAGTGTTTATTTTAGCGAACACACAAATCTGGTCTCTAAAGGATGAACATTAATAAAATATGTGCTCTAACTCTATGTAACAAGGAAAATATAGAATACATTTTCTATTCCCATTGATCCTCAGGCCACTGGCAATCCACCAACAATTGATTTAGCCATTTGATTAGTTTGGGGGAAAAACATTATATTTTAATGGGGTATATATAATTCTAAGTTACTGCTTTGAAGTTGAACCAAATATTAAAATTACCTCTTTTTATGGATGCTGCACAGCTATGAAGCTTTATAATTGCAGCCTGGGCTTTTGTAGGTGATTTGAACTGGAGAGGCAATTTCTGCAAAGCTTACTGCATGGGCCTGGTGTCCGCCAGGCTGGGCAGCCCCTTTGACAACAAAAAAGATGCAGATGACAATGCTAATAATTACATCCTGTGTTTGACTCACACTTCACAGCTACAGAGGTCAACAGTAATTTTTCTGAGCTGCTTCCCTTTAAAACAGCTCTCACAGCCATCCCTCTTCTGCCTCCCAAGTCCAAGCTCATCAGCGGTTAACTGGACTTCTGCAATAGTTGTTTTTTGTTTTTCAAACAGGTATCCTTCTTGACCCACGGCCATCCATTATCCTGTTGCTTAAAATCCTTCTGTGGCCTCCTATTACCTAGAACAAGGTTCGCAAATTATAGGCCGGGGATTAATCTGGCCTGCGTCCTTGTCTCATAAATAAAGTTTGATTGGAACACAGCCTCACTCATTTGTTTGCACACTGTCCATGGCTACTTTTGCACTAAGCCACATAGCTGAGTAGCAGAGTCCTTGCAACAAAGACCTTATGGCCTCGAACATTTAAAACAGTTACTATGTAGCCTTTTACAGAAAAAGACTGCTGGTCTTTGAACTAGAGAACAAAGTTTAAAAGCCTTCCCTAGGCCCACACTAGGTCTTCTGTGTTCTGGCCCCAGCTATCCCTGGGTCCTTCCTTTTGCCCCACTCACTCCTCTACTCAGTTTGCTTCTCCACAAGCAATAGTGACTGACCTAGGCAACAAACAAATTGATGGGAAAGCTATAGTGAAATACTCACTGGGCTGATAGGAAGGCCGGGGAAATGACTTACAAAATGGGGTCCAGGGTGCTGAAGTTGAACAGTCTTGTGGGCACTGCCTTTGAATTGTTTTCCACTCAAGGCTGTATGTCCTGAGACAGAGAGAGTCCAGTTGACCAATGTGCTACCTTCTCGCTTCTCAGTAGGGGAATACAAAAGGCCTTGATTTACAGGCTCACCCAAAAGAGGAGAGAGAATATTAAAATAAAAATTATAATAATAATGCAGACACCAGGAGAAGGGGGAAATTGATGTTAGGAAGTCAAAACCAGAACATATCTGGAAGAGCAGCTTTCAAGCTCTTCTGCCTTGAGAACCAGTAGGAACCTCCTCTAAGCTTAATTAAGAGTCAGCTCAGGCTGCTGATTGTGCTGTTTTTCTGATGGAAAAGATGAATGTCTGATCACACCTACTGCATTAGTTTCCTGTGGCTGCTCTAATAAGTCACCATGAACTGGGTAGCTTAAAACAGCAGATACTTACCACTCACAGTCCTGGAGGCGAGAAGTCCAAAATTCAGTGACACCCCGTCTACTGCCTTGATTACTCTACTGCCCCGTCTACTCCTTCCACCTAGATTAACATTTTTTTTTCTCAATGCTGTTCCCACTCACCTCCATCATTCCCTAATAGATACTTCAACCAAGACTCAGCCTGCCTGCCTGGTGCTGCCCTGAGCCCCTCTGGAAGGAAATGTTGGTGCAGATTACCTGAGCCATAACAGTGGGGTGCAGGCACACAGGTGGAAGAAGTCCAGAGGCCAAGGGCCCAGGTGTGTTGACACTGCTCTGTCAATGCTGTCCAATGCTGCTCTGTGACCCTGGGCAAGTCCCCTAACCTCTCAGAACCATGATTTTCCCATCTATGAAGAAAGGGATAATAAGATCTAGGTAATAAGATCTAGGTGATTCCTGGATGCACATTTAATCTCTGCTTGTGGATAGTGGATCCTGTGAGGAAGGGAACTCTTCTGGAATGTCCATGCTCATAGGTGCATACTGGGTATGCCCCATTGTGGCCATAATTCTCTTCTTTGGGAAATCTACTCCTTCCCCAGCCAACTTTTTAAAACCAGACTCCTTGCCCCACCTGGCCGCAGACTGGCTTGAAGAGATGGATAGGGCACATCAGATTCCTGCACCTGGAAATGACCGTGAGAAAGGAGGGGAGGAACCTGTGGACACTGAGTTGAGAAGCGGTGAGGGAGGTGCAGGTCAGTGTCACCAGGGGTGACTGGGGGACAGTGTGATGTTTGGAGGGCACTGGCTAGGGAGGGAGGAAATTGGAGCAGAGCCACATGGAAATGCCTCGAAAGAAAGGCCATGCAGCCTCTGCAGGAAGGAGAGGGGAAGAGACTAAAGGCAAGCTCCAGCCTAGTCCCTGGCTCTTCTCGCAGCAACGGGGCCACTCTCAGCTTCCTAAGTAAAGTGCCTGGGTTTGGCAGAGCAGTGTGAAGGAACAAATGATGTCCCATCTCTCACTCACTGTATCACTAAGAAGGGCCCCAAAAGTCCACAAGGGACCTATTTAGGCAATAGCAGTGGCTGACACTAACCTCCTGCCAGACTCCCTTCTGTGTGTGCTCATTCTTAAAACAGGTATCCCCAATATTTCCATTTCACAGATGAGGAAACCTGAGGCACAGAGTGATTAGACGTCTTGCCTAATGAGTAAGTGGCCCGGAATTTAAACCCAAGTAGTCTTCTGCAAGGGCTCTGAACTTACCACTGCACTATACTGTCAGCTAGCATAGTTATTAGAGGTAATTCATCAGAAAAGGCAATGAAAAATAGATACAAAATCCTGTT